CAGGGTCAAACTATCTGGAATTAAATTCTACCACTGAAACTTGACCTTGGGAGATTATTTGACCATGATGTGCCTCAACGTCCTCATCTGTAATATAAAGATAAAAGCAGTACCTATCTTGTGGAGGCTAATGAAAATAATGTATATGTGATTATTTTAAAAGATCTGCAAATTCTTTGATACAATACTCATCAAAAATTGCAGTCTATTTCTCCTCTTCTTGAGCTTAAATGGGTCTTTGGACTTCCTCAATTAATTTAATACGATAGAAAGGAAGTTGCCTGACTTCTGAGGGTTGACTAGAAAGGAAAACTTCTGCCATTGTCTCATGGGAAACTCACTCTAGGGCTCTTCAGCCACCATGTGAAAAATCTGGCTGCCCTGAAACTGCCATATGAAGAGACCACCTGAAGAGACCACTTAGAGAGAGAGGCTTTAGGAGCCCATCTATTCCAGACCCCAGATATTTGATTTTTTCCCTGCCCAACTACCAAACTGCATGCCTAGGAAACCTTTCAAGATGGTCAGGCCCAACTGCCAGCCACTGTCTGGCTGGAACTGCATGAGAAACTCTGAGCCCACTCAACCCCCAGATTTGTGAGCACAGTTAGTGATTCTTATTGTTTTTAGCTATTTTTTTCTGGATGGCATGTTACTATGCAATAGATAAGTGACTCAGTTACAAAGCAATAAGAGCTGTACTTAATAAAAGTTCTCAACAAATGCTTTATATTGTTAAATCAGTCTTTGCTGTTTGCTAGTGTGTGCCCTATTAGTGTGCTCACTCACTGCACCTATCCTATCTGTAAATTACATGTAATAGGACCTGGGTTATCGGCCTCATGTGATTTCAATGAAGATTAGATAAGAAAATAAGAAAGTCCTTTGAAAAGTGGTAAAGTGTATAAAAAGTGAATATTACTGTTTTGCACATTTTTTTCTTACCTTAAATTTGCAGGAGTTTCATATTGAGTAGATATTTGTACTCCAAAACTAGTGCTATTTAAGAGAGAAGTTTTCGTATTTTTAAACATTTTCAAGCGAAATGAAAAATTTGAATGGATTATTTGTTCTGTGTGTACAAAGTTGCCAAATTGACATAATTGTTAAAATCTCTGAGAATAAAATGAAAAATTCTCTATCTTGTTAACAAAAACTGCTTTTGGTGTTACTCTACAGCTATAGCATGGAGTAAGCATATCCCAGGTGATTTTGCATTATTAATTTAATTAAGAACTGATTTGAAAATCTATTTTTGCACAGTCATCTGCATTTTGACATGTCATCCACAAGGTGGAGGCAAAGGTTTTTATCTGAAATAGGCATTTCTTTAGAGGGGCTTCATGGTGCAGCATACAACAGATGCAAAGATTTATATTTCTGATATTGAAGAGAATAGACATAGACAGTCAATCCATTATTAGAAACTTTCTTACTTGGGTAGAAGTAATATATGAATCCCCAGTGCCTTATCCATGGGTGAGCAATAAGGTACTACTATTGTTAACTGCAAACTAGAACTTGCCAGAATGCATTCGTTATGAAACTAGTAGCTTAGTGGTGGTGGGTGTCATGGAAGAAGCAATTAGATGCTTTCTTGGCCCAATGGAGAAAATAATATTTCAGATCCTTGAAGAAATGGACAAGGATTAAAATAGACTCTGGGAAAGAGAATTGTTTGACCTGATTATCTATGACTGGGATTTCTTTAGTGGGAGATAAGAGTTTATTTTATAATTAAGGAAAAAATACTCAAAATGCAATGCCAGACTGAGATAATACAGTGTTAGAAATTCACGCTTGCTACAGTTTCATTAGTCTTTTAGCCAACATCTTTAATTGGTTAATCCAAGATACTTTTCTCTTTCTGATTTGGGTGAAGGGACCAAGCTTCTAAAGCAGTGATTGGCAGGTTTGGTTGCAGGGCAGGTTTCATTCAAGATTGCTTAAATCTGAATCTCTGAGAGGGTGCCTGGGCACTGGTATTTTTTCCAAAATTCTCCATATAATTCTAAGATGCAGCTAGGGTTGGGAATCACACTTATAGGTTGGGGGAGGGTGAAACCTCTGTGGTGGGGAAAGGTGCACAAAAGGGAGAGCAGAGATGTAAAAACAACCTTCTAAATCTTCTTATTTATTTTTAGCTATTTATCTCCAAATGGAAACTGGGTAAACTCTCAAGCTGATCAAATTCTTGCTTCATTAGGACCTATTGCTATTGAATGAAATGACACATTAGAAAGGTCTTTCACTTGTTTTTAAATTAAAATCTTCATAAAAAGCTTTGTTTCTTTAGAATTTCCAGGTGAGGTATTAATACTCTAATTCTGTGAAGACTGTTTAAGGTAATGGATCCCAGGCAATGTTTAAGAACCACCCATGGGACCGGGTGTGGTGGCTCACACCTGTAATCCCAGCACTTTGGGAGGCTGAGGCAGGTGGATCATGAGGTCAAGAGATCGAGACCATCCTGCCCAACATAGTGAAACCCTGTCTCTATTAAAATACAAAAATTAGCTAGGCATGTGTGATGGCGTATGCCTGTACTCCCAGCTACTTGGGAGGCTGAGGCAGGAGAATTGCTTGAGGCCAGGAAGCAGAGGTTGCAATGAGCCGAAATTGTGCCATTGCACTCCAGCCTGGTGCCTGGCGAAAGAGTGAGACTCTGTCTCAAAAAAAAAAAAAAAAAAAAAAAAGAACCAGCTGTGGGATGACCTAGGAATCCAGAGAAACACAGGAAGTCAATACTGCAACTTGAAAGACTTTAAACCTTACAGATGACAAGAAAAGGTTTGTGTGATAGTTAATTTTTGTGTGCCAGTTTGTCTAGGCTATGGTAATCGTTTGTGAAACATTAGCCTAGACATTGCTGGAAAGAGATCTTGCACATGTAACCATTGATAATGTGATAATGTGAGTGAATATCATCCAGTTGAAGCCTTTAAGAGCAAAAACAGGTTTTTCCAGGAAAGAAGAACTCAACCTCAACACTGTAACATAGAAATCCTGCCTGTCTTTCTAGGCTATTTCAGACTTGCCAGCTTCACAAATGCATAAGCATTTTCTTAAAATAAATCTCTTTATTTCCTGTTGTTTGTTTCCTCAGAGAATCCTCACTGGTACAACTTGTAAACATCATTCTTAGAAACAAATTTGATATGGTTTGGCTGTGCCCCCACCCAAATCTCATCTTGAATTCCCATGTGTTGTGGGAGGTAGTCGAATCATGGGGCCAGGTCTTTCCAATGCTGTTCTCATGATAGTGGGTAAGTCTCATGAGATCTGATAGTTATTATAAGTGAGACTTTTCCTGCACAATCTCTCTTTGCCTGCTGCCATTCACATAAGCTGTGACTTGTTCCTCCTTTCCTTTTGTCATTAGTGTGAGGCTTCCCCAGCCACATGGAACTGTGAATTCTCCACTAAACCTCTTTCCTTTGTAAATTGCCCAGTCTTGCATATTGTATTCATCAACAGCATGAGATCAGACTAATACAGTAAAATTGATACCAGTAGAATGGGGTGCTGCTGAATACTTGAAAATGTGGAAGAGACTTTGGAACTGGGAAACAGGCAGGGGTTGGAACAGTTTGGAAGGCTCAGAAGAAGACAGGGAAGTGTGGGAAAGTTTGAAACTTCCTAGAGATTGTTGAATAGCTTTGACGAGAAAACTGACAGCCATATGTACAATAAGGTAAAGGCTGAGGTGGTCTCAGATGGAGATGAGGAACTTTTTGGGAACTGGAGCAAAGGTGACTTTGCCAGGAACTGGGAAATAAAATGCCTGCTCCTTGAAACTTCTATATAGAAAGTAACAGCCCTACCTTTCACTAAGATTTCAAAATGAGAAATAAACCTCAAACAGAGAAGTTCTTTGGATGACAGAAAGTGACTTGACCATGGATCAGTTAATGAAATGCTCCTTCATGGGACTTAGAATTTTGAGAAATGACAGGTATGTTAGTTAATTTAACTCCAATTATATTTGCCATAAAATTGCTTCATCTATTGTATAACTCTACGTCTAACATGAGGTGAATTCAAATTCCCTGACACAATTAACTCTACATATAGAAGGCTGCATGATTTGTCGTAGTTTCAGAGGTATTCATTCTGAATATTTGAACTTTCCTTTAAAGCAGTATAGAGAGAACACTTTCATTTCCCCTGGGCAAAGAAGACATATAGAATATTATATATATTTTTATATGTGGTACATTAAGCAGAAAAATCATGTTTTTAGAACTTTATAAATTTCTCTCAGGCATTTTTTGCAAAAATAAATTTGTTCAAGTTACAAAGATTTTCTTTTTGCAAGGCAGATGCTACCTAGTTAATTCCAAGCAACTTGTAGCTGGAAGCAAGAAGGTAGTTACAGGAGTTTTTTTGTTGCTGTTGTTGTGTTTTTGGTGTAAGTTTTTAAAAAGTGAGATATTCTAGGCTTTATGGTGGATATCTGTCTAACTTTTTCTTTTCTTTTCTTTTTTTTTTTTTTTTTTTTTTTTGCGATGGAGACTTGCTCTGTTACCCAGACTGGAGTGCAGTGGTGCAATCACAGCTCACTACAACCTCCACCTCCCAGGTTCAAGCAATTCTCCTGCCTGAGCCTCCTGAGTAGCTGAGATTATAGGCACATGCCACAACACCTGGCTAATTTTTGTCTTTTCAGTAGAGATAGGGTTTCCCTATGTTGGCCAGGCTGGTTTCAAACTCCTGACCTTGTGATCCACCCACCTCAGCCTCCCAAAGTGCTGGGATTACAGGTGTGAGCCACTGTGACCGGCTCAACATTTTCTTAGTAAGCCTGAGAATCAGGGAATGGAGTTTAGCATATTGGGAATTGTAAAGTGGATGTTTAATGTTGAGTCTTTTAGAAGGAAACAGCAGAGATCTAGACAAAAACAGGCCTTATGAGATTGCCTACTGTAGCATTTTTGTGAAAGACACAGGAACAGTTCTCAAGGTCAACATTGTGAAGATCCACATAATTCTCAGTCATATTTATGGTTTGCATTGTATTTCAATTTATTTTGATAGTAAATCATCATACTTATCATTGTATGAAGACACTGCAGCTAGAAAAAGCAGAAAGTATCCTAGTTGTCTCCCCAGAAGCTCAGTGGTTTTGCTTAGGTCAAGTCATCAGAGGTCATTCCCCAGGGTGGCTCCAGCTCTAGGTCTATGAGAATAGTGAAATGAATTTTATGTTAGAAAAACAGAGCTAATGGGCAACAATCATAACATTGCTCCATAGATGCATATAACCTCATGCTATTTTAATATTTATGCCAAAAATTACTCTGTCTAGGATGACCCATATATCCACCATGACCCATCTCATAAGTCCAAATTAAGAAAAAAATGTAAGACATTTCCAATACCAATAGTGATGGATTTATATACTATATATATATATATACACACACACACACACACACACACACACACACACACAAAGCATATAAAGCCATTACCATTGATACACCAGGGTACATTGTATGTTGTGCAGTGTTTTAAAAATATTTTTTAAACTGGTGATGAATGTGACTTTCTGCTTTATGATAATAACAATTATGGCCAGGGCAAAACTGTCAACCAGTGGCATAATGAGTCCACTTGATCATGGAATTGAGATAATAGTTTAGTAGTTTTTATTTTAGCAAAACACTGAGTATGAATTTTTATCAAATCATCTTCTACATTGTATTAGGGCCAATTTGTCTACCTTTAATTTTTTTCCCTCTTCCAAGACAATATAATATAGTTATGTCACAGTTCTATTTGCACAGTATAAAAAATTCCATGTTTCATTGTCTTTAGTGAGTTTATGCTTTGGAATGAGGATAGGAAGAGAGACACAAATCTTTTCTCACAGCCTCACTTCCTATGTTTCTCTCATAGTGTGAGCAACTCTCTGTGTTGGTTGTGATTCTGGTATCTAAAATATTTTTTACCCAGCCTAATTGTACATTGTGAGCCAACTCATTTATTGTTTTGGCAACCCGGAGGGACCACTACTTGCTTCTTTAGCTAATGGCAAAAAATATCTGGCTTTGTGAGATTTATTAAGAGACAGAGATTCTCTCTCCAAAAGTGCATGCAAGTATGGCCATCATCAATTTGGAGCTTGAAGGCTTGAAGTAAAAGATTGATCAAGGAGACCAATAACTGTCAAGATGAAAGCTGAAGTTTTTAGTAGGACTCTAATTGAGAGTGAAATAGTGTGAAACCATTGAATTGTAGATAGTACTAGGGATATACCTTGAGATAAAAGGCTTCAGCTTCTAAATGAGGGATTCAGATCCCTAACTAGAGATGGGTAGGCTTAAATGGAAATGAAATACACAGCCAACCAAAGTTGGCTTAATGGTTTTAGGAACTACTTCACTCTAAACTATGTGCCACTTCTGCGGCTGAAGGGAAAAATCATTGAAGAAAATTGATATTTTCTACTTGAATAATTTAATATATATTGAAAAGACTGATCTATCTGAGGGAAAGTACTCAGCATTTACTCTGAAATCATTAAGACTTAAATTTAGAGCAGCTCATGACTGGGATTGCATTATTTTTGAGGCAATGCTGCTCATAGTTGAATGACTTCACAGTTGTCCAATACAGCTACAAAATTCCCCCTGGAACCCAGGAACTGCAATCAGTTGGTTGTGTTCTGGAAACCTAAGACAAGTGGTAAAGTTGTGGTCTCATTATTTCTGGATATCAAGTACCTCAGGCTGATCACAGTGGCTCATAACCTTGTGAACGAGGTATAATTTTCCTTTTCAAAGTCATGTTAACTATTCCCCAAATAATTGAGTGTTGGTAGGCTTTCATCATTGCAGAATGCAATAGTGATAAATAGGCAGTGGATAAAATTGAGCTCAGAAGAGTCAATGCATGTTGCCAAAATCCATGGAAGGAATATGTGAATAATCTTAGGAAGAAATAAGTGAATATGTCAATAATCCATCCAGATGATCAAAATGTATTTGGGAAGCCAAACAATTGAATGGTATAGAAATCAAAGAATTAATTAAAGGTCAGAGAAAAATGTAGACTAACACAGGAGAAATGATAAGAAATGTCTATGGAAGATGAAAATAATGACCATGAACCAGAAGAATCAGTATATTAGAATCTTCATTAATATGTCATTGACAAAGTAAATTTATCTCTTGAATTAGTTAGCATTAAAAATACTTGTGAAATTTGTTCCAAAAAGAAATCTCTTGAAATCCATCAGATTATTACTTTCTCCTTTACTTATCTTAGGATATCTTCTCCTATTTTAATTAGTTTTCCCAAAGCCTGAAAACATATAACATTAAGGAAATGCACTCTGAGCTCTGAAGAATAATAGTCCAGTGAAAAACATATTTGAAATCAAAGTTATCATATAGCTTTCCAAATAACCCTGACTCTTAATTAAAACTTAAGAAATCTTGAAGGATGAGAGGTGAGGTAAATGTTATGTATTGGGATTTTAACTGTTTGCAGATTATTACATGTGGATTGAGATAAAGGGAAAGGTGATTCATTCAAATGGGGGTAAGAGTAATAATTCAGCAGTTACCAAGATCAGAAAGTATTTTCCTTGGAAATTATTGAGAAAACTTACTTTATCTTTAGGACAGTGGCATATTTTGTGCTTTGGCATATACATGGGCAGAAAAACGTTTTAGATTCATATCAGTACTAGTAGGAGAATCAGTGCCACAACTTTGCTAGTATTACTGCTAATATTCATTTTCATTATTTTTTAGACATTTTATATACATCATCTCAATCATAAAAATTGAAATTTTATATTGAAGTAGATATTGAAATTTTCATTTTAGATAAAAGGAAGCTCATCTTTTGACAGGATAGATAACTTGCTCAAATTCACAAAGACAGATACTTAGAGTGGGGATTCTAATCCAGGTTGAGTGATTTCGAAAATGAGTTTTCTTGACAATCCCCCTAGTACTGGTTCTCAGAGTGTTAATTTTCTTTTCTACTGCTTCACAAGATTTAAATAATTAATAATTGAAAATATGAACATGGTGAAATAATTTAATGTTATTAGTCAAAGGATTGGAAGACTTTTGTGTCTACATTATTTTGGGCAGAGTTGTCAGCAAAATAATAATTGACATTATTGAAAAGCCTCAGTTCAGCTAAGAACTGAGATCCAAACCAGTTTGCATCTTTTAAAGTCTCATGTATAATTTCTTTAGAATAAATACAATTGAATCTGGAGAGAAAATGTTTTTGTTGAAATGTGCAGAGTTCAGGTCACCTTTAGTTTAAGATGTGAAGTTACGTCAGAATAAACTATTTTAGGTTCTTAATGTCTTCATCTGGCATTTTTTATTAGGTGAAAATATAGTAACTGAAAAAAGCAAGTAATAATATTTTAACAGTGTTATTTTAATTTGAATAAGAAAGTCCCTTTCCTCCTAAGGTCCCTGCTGTGTTACTTGTAAGACTTGATGAACCCTGCCTTTAAACTCAGAGTTCGTCCTATTGAAGTGCACGAGAATCCTTTAAATGTTCTTTATGCTGTCATTATGTTACATGTGAGATAATGATGGATGAAGCACAAGGCAGGGGGCCAGTAAACCTGGATTCTAGTCTTAAATATATCAGAAGTTCGCTGTGTGCTCTTGTGTAAGTGTAAGCTCTTTAACTTTTCTCATTGCTTAATATTCTTATCTGTAAAATGAGTTTAAGTAGATAAGAGTAAATTTATTAAAATCTCCTTCCCATTCTTTGATATTTAAAATACACTGTACAGTGCTGAATTCTTTGGTCTTGGATTTTAAAAATACACTTACCAAAGTTAATACACATGCTTCAGGACTACAGAATATTCTTCAATTCAGTATCAATCTGATAATGAAAAAAGAATGTTACATCACTTATGAAGTATTTCATTTGTAGACTACTAGATTATGCAGAAGGTATACAAAATCTTGAAACCTTTGTTAGAGGAGAGGATTCTTGCCAGAATGCAATGTTACATTGTAGTTTTTATTAGCCACCCTTCACATTTATTTAGCTTTACCTCATCCCTGCCCTTGAAGGGCTTACAGTCTGCTGGGAAATGTAAACAAGAAAAAATGGCAATAGAGTTTAATAAGTGCTAATTATTGGGTGCACATGCAATGTTATGGGACAACAGAGAAGTTTGTCAGGAAAGAGTTTTCAGAGGAGGTAATGTCCTCTAACTTGAACCCTAAAGCCTGATGAATGATTCAGCCAAAGCAAGCCTGATGCGAAATAGGGCAATTGAGTGGAGTTATTATGTGCAAAGGTTTTGAGGTAAGAGCAAGTTTAACGCATTTGGAAAACCGCAAGCAGTTCAGGAGAACCCGGGTAGGAGGCACAACAAGTGGTGATAGCAAGTTACTACTTGGAGAAGAAATCAAGGTCCAAAATATCTCTATTTTGTAAAAAAATGTGTACTTTAATTTGGAAGCAATGAAAACTATTAGGGGAGTGTATTAACCATTTTAGTGTTTTAAAAAGGTTGATTTGACCTCAGTATAGCGATGGGATTGGAAGTGATGTATTGTGGGCAGACTGGAGGTGAGAGACCAAAGGACAGGCTGTAATCTAGGCGAAAGACTGCCTGAAACTAAATGTTAGGAATGTAGAAGAATGTGGGTGGGAGATTGAGAGATGTTAACAGAGTTAGAATTGATGGAATTTGCGATTTTATTTGCTGCATAAGGAAAAAGAGAAGGAGAAATAAAAAGAGTCACTAAATTTTTATAGTGGGCAATGGGTAAATGATGATAATATTCATAAACTTAAAAAACACAAGAGAAGTTTATAGGAGTTGGCCTCTATTTTGGCCATGTTGATTTAAGATTTCTTATGGGACAAACTATTGGGGGAAAAGAGAGTCCCATAGACAGTTAGATGAAAAGCTTGATGCTGAAGGAGAGATCTTGGTTGGAGGTAGAGATTTGGAGATTAAAAGCATATGCACTGATGAAAAATGTTGGGAAAATGTAGCACCATGGAAGTGGGGACCAAGGAAAAAACTCTGGAGAACAAATTTAAGGGATAGGTAAAGGAAGAGAACAATATGAAATAGAACAAGAAGAGAAGAGTCATAGAAAGACAAAAAGTAGAAAATAATAATACAGATGCTAAAGAAATTGTTTCAAGAAGGAAAGAATACTTATGGGTATCAAGTGTTTTGCAGAGACAGCTGGTAAGAACTAAAAAATGTTTATTAGATTTAGCAATAAGGATATTGTTGGTGTGCCTTTGTTGATAGTCATACGGTACCATCAAAAGCCAGACTTCAAAGGGTTGAGAAATTAATAGGAGGTATGAGGAGTTGGTGTATATGGTATTCTTGCAAGAATCTTGGCTGTAAGGAAAGGTGAAAGAAATATAGCTAGGGAGGTGTCTAAAGTGACTTGTTTATTATTTTTTCAGATAAGAAGAATAATACAAAATTAGACAGAGCTGGTAAAAATGTTGATGCAAAAGAAGAGAGAATATCTCATGGAGAAAGAGTCCAAGGAAGTGAGATGGGTAGAATTCAGAGTGACACTACCAACATAGTATCATTTTTTGCTACTAACAATAATTTTGGATTTTCAGTCAATAGTCTTCTGGTAGCAATACTTTGCTTTTGTCATGATTAACTAAATTAGGGCTAAAGTCTATGAGAAGGACATTGAGGGAGACTAACAGACTAATACAGAATAAACTTAGATTTTCTTAACATCATATAGCCTCTATAAATTTAATTCAACCCATCTGTAAAACGGGAATTAAAATAATAACATCTAGAATTGTTTTGGGTTATTCTATAAATACATACATGTCGGGCTATTAATAGTTCTGCTTAACACATAGCAATAGCTTAATCAATGATAGCTGTGACACTGACGATTATAAAATCTAGTTATACCGAGAAATAAAACAAACTACAGTGAATATACTAGTTTTTCCTAATATAAGAAAGACAGACAGGAGGGGATAGACAGTGTATCACTCTACTTGTCGGTCTCCTCTTTGCCTAGCTTCCACTTGGCTGTTTGTATTTGTCTCTATGTTTTTAAGATTTTCGTGATTAATTCCAGCATATTACAGTGACTTTCAGAATACTTTGGGAAATCATATCTGATGCTCACTAGCTGAAACATTTTAAAGGAAGCATAGTAATGAGTTCCCAGAAGAGCACAAGTGGATGCCCTGCCTGAATGATGATAGAATGAGAAAAAAAAATTTCAAGTCTAATTTTGTAACTGTATGTTTTCCTGCAGGCAAATGGGCCTTTTTGACATAAACAAATGAATCAGTTCTGAGAGTGCCATGGTAAAACCAAAAGAAAATGACATGGTTGTTCTATTTCCTGCTCATTTCACAATCAGGGTGAGGATAGGGGTAGATACCCATGTAATGAAACACTAAATTAATATGGTTCAGAAGCCCCTTTTTCCAATCTTCTAGTACTTGTGCCAAGTGTATTTGGAATGACAAGTAGAGACTGATCCCTGGATATAAGTGATGGGAGGGAAATGAGTAGATGGATATTACTTTTAAGGAAAAATTTTGTCAAGCAAATATATGACAAAGACATCTCACAAATTATGATCCAAATATTATAGGGAAAGTGGGACATTCACATTAAGCATTGGAAATTAAAGATAATGCTGTTCAAACAGATGTTGTACTAAAATGAAGTCAGAAAGGAGGGGTGAGCTTGCCTACCTAGCTATAAGGTCAGTTTAGAAAGGCAATCAGAAGGCTAACTGAAACAGCAGAGGGTTTAATCTCTGAGTGCTCTGAATAATCAAATATGCACAAGTAACTCAATAACTGCATTCATCTCAATAACTCCATTCATCTCACTCTACTTGAGCAATTACTGAAAGATAAGCTGCTCAGCTGCTATAAATTTATTCGCGATAATGCAAGAAGAGGGATAGCTACAAACCTGCCTTCTCATCATTGTAGTGATTTGAATGGCAATATGTTATAATGAAAAATATATTGAAAACCAACTCAAAGAAATAAAAACCAAGGGGCTTGAAGCGAGCATGAATTTATGCTTAAAGCTCAGTTTGTCTTGTATAGTGTTAGGCAGGACCGTGCCTATCTGTATAGACGAAGGGGGCAGGGAAAGAATTCAAGAGTGATATTTCTTATAGAATCTAAAAGAACATTTAGACTGTTTTTTTTTTTTTCTTCTTTTGTAATAGACTCTCAGAGCAAATTTTCTGGTAGGAAACAACTTATATGTAAGGTGATTTTATTTTTCTAGGTTAAGGCCACCTAAATTGAAACTAAATTTAGGTTACCAAAAGCAAGTTGGTATGAAAGGAAAGAACTGTTCAATTTAATTATTTTATGTGAAAAATGTTTTAATGCCCACAAAATATTCTGACAATCCAGCTTCTTCTGTTTTTATGTTGAAAATCTTAAGTAGTTTGAATTTTAATGAACAATAAAGATGGCATATTTGGCAGTAGAATTTAAAGAAAGGGCTTTTATTCTACCGTACTCTTTTCATTTGGAATTCTGACTTTATAAATTGTTACAAACAAGATTAGCAAATAGGTTTGGGACCAGAGTGTAAACATGGAAATTAGAAAAGAAATCAGAATCCCTAAAGTTATAAGGAAGACATTGGAAAAATATGCAAATCCATTTGTCAAACTAAGACTTTTTTTCTTAGGTACCATACAGTAAAATAAATCAAAACAAAACAAATAAAACTTTACTAAAATATGAACATTAAGAAATTTGGTATGCGTAGCCCAAGACTTGAAAAGAATATTTTACACAGCCTAATTTTTTTAAAGCCACTTCAAGTATAAGACAGCTGCTATTGCTAACAGAGACATTTTCTAGTTGCTAGCAAAAGCCAGGGTGATCTCAGGAGAAATTACAAAGGGAATATCACAGCTTAATTTATAGTTCTCATTGAATAAGAGAACATTCAATGCAGTTACCTAGTAATGAAATAGGCCATTTCCATTTCTACTCCTAGGAGTAGATAAATTGACTATGGAAATTTAAATGGCTGGGCTCCATGGCTCATCCCTGTAATCCCAGCACTTTGGGAGGCCAAGGTGGGTGGATCACAAAGTCAGGCAATTGAGACCATCCTGGCCAACGTGGTGAAACCCTGTCTCTACTAAAAGTACAAAAATTAACTGGGTATGGTGGTGCGCACCTGTAGTCCCAGCTACTTGGGAGGCTGAGGCAGGAGAATCACTTGAACCCAGGAGGCAGAGATTGCAGTGAGCCAAGCCAAGATCATGCCACTGCACTCCAGCCTGGCAACAGGGCA